CAAGAACAGGGAGGGATGACGAGCATGATCAGGGAACCTGGAATGAAATCTCATGAAAACAGATTGAAGGAATTGAGAATGTTTAGCCTTGAGAAGGGGAGTGCTGTGATCAGACTCTTCAAATAACTGAACAGATGCCACACAAAAGGTCCCAACATTTTCTATCATCTCAAAATGTGGGACATGGAATAATAGTTTTAAGTTACAGAAAGACAGGCCCCAACCAGCGGTGGGATTCAACCGATTAGTACCACTTTGGCAGAACCGGTAGCTAATTTTTTGTTGCCCAGGCCCAGAATGGACTTCCAGAAGCGGCATCCACACAGAGAACCAGTTGTTCACATATTTGAATCCCAACACTGGTCCCAGCTGAATACAGGTAGTCCTCGACTTACGGCCACAACTGAGCTCCCAGTGTTTGTTGCTAAGCGAGACAGTTGTTAAGTGAATTTTGCCCCATTTTACAACCTTTCTTGCCACAGATGTTAAGTGAGTCACTGCGGTATTATGTTAGCAATGACATTGTTAAGTGAATCTGGCTTCCTCATTGACTTTGCTAGTCAGAAGGCCGCAAAAGATGATTCCATGATCCCCGGACACTGCAACTGTCATAAATACAAGCCAGTTGCCGAGCATCTGAATTTTGATCCTGTGTAAGTGCAAAAAAAGGGCCACAAGTCACTTTTTTTCAGGGCCATTGTAACTTTGAACGGTCACTAAGTGAGCTGTAGTAAGTTGAAGACTACCTGTATTACAAAAACTTCCTAATGATAAGAGAAGTTTTGATTGTGAAACCAATTACTAAGAGAGTTGATGGGGTCCCATATGGAAGGGGGTGTTCAAGAGGGAGCTGGGTAGCCATCTCTCAAGGAAGCTTTAATTTGGATTGCTGTACTGAACAGGAGGTTGGATTTGATGATCTAAAACAGGAGTTCTCAACCTTGGCAACTTTAAGACTTGTGGACTTCAACTCCCAGAATCCCTCAGCCAGCAAAGCTGGCTGAGGAATTCTGGGAGTTGAAGTCCACAAGTCTTAAAGTTGCCAAGGTTGAGAACCCCTGATCTAAAATAACTTCTTCAAACCCTAATATTCCAATATGTTGATAATATATTCAATATGATTAAAATATCATCCAGGGAAGAAGCCTTATATTCTCACTCAGTTCCTTGACAGTATATGAGGAAATTGGCAGTGATGTTTTACTTGGGATCCCTAATAGTTACAGCTTACTATGTACAATATTGCAACATTTTGTATCCTGAATTTATCTTTTAATAGTACATTAAGGGTTTTTGCCCTGAAAACAGAATTTTCAGATCATGGAGTTCCTTAAGATGCTGTTAGCAATATTTAGAATGTTTTTACATATTTTATACTGAAGTTATTAGTAATAAACTTTCTCATTTTTCTTCCCTGGAATATATCTAGCTTACTAAGAAATGGGTTTTAATCATCTGCATCAGTGGTGGGATTCAGCCGGTTCGCACCAGTTTGGCAGAACCGGTAGCTAATTTTTTGTTGCCCAGGCCCAGAACGGACTTCCGGAAGTGGCATCCACACAGAGAACCGGTTGTTCACATATTTGAATCCCACCACTGATCTGCATCTACATCCGATCATCCCCTTAAGTTAGTGGCCTTGCAGAAAAGGCAATCTGTACAGTAAAATACACTTATGGGTAAACAAAAAGTTGATAATGAAAAATTAAAACAGTAAAACACTATACTGTCTTACCTTGAGATAATATTTTGTTCCCCAGTGTAATTGTGCATATTCATATAACATATAACTTAAGTTATTATTCATATAATTATTATTCATATAATTCATATAACTGTAGCGGTTGGATATAAACATGCAAAGGAAATGAATAAGATTGTCCACAAACTAGCAAAGCTTAATTCAACATCTCAAGGAGCAGGTGGTCTTACCATGGCTAGGAAGGCCTTTGCACAAATTTACCATGTGCACCTATTACACCATTTATGGCTCAGGAGGCATTACTCACAGCAATCTATGCTGTAGTTACCTCCAGGTTGGATTACTATAGCACACACTACATGGGCTGCCCTTGAAGAACAGAATACTTGTCCAGAATGTGGTATCAAGGGCAGTTTGGGGTGATCCACAACAAGACTGTGTAACCTCTAGTCTGCAAGGTGTACTAGTTCCTACTAGGTTTCTCAGTGCAATTCAAGAGCTATTGCCTATATAATTCTGTATGGCACAGGGCATTGTATTTTTGCTCACCCTACCAGAACCAGTAGAGTTTGCATGCTTCAGATCCCACCTTTTAAGACAATGCCATCTTGTGAGATCTAGGAGTTGTGGCTTCTCTGTCATTGCACCTGCTCTGTGAGACAACATTCCCTCTCAGATTTGGTTGGCATCAAATCTGTTGGTCTTTCATAAGCCATTAAAGACCTGGATGTTCCCACAACCATTTTGGCTGGGTCACTTGTTGTCTTAGTGACTGAAATGAAACAGTTTTTCTTTCAGCTCCAGGCATGTGAGATATTAGGGTTTTTCCATATACAGTTTATACTGTTCTTTTGGTTTTAATTTTTTTGTAAGTAAACTAGAGTCACTGCGGTGAGATGGACAGCTATATAAATTGTTGAATGAATGAATGAACATCATGGATGCCAGATAATTAGAACAGAAACTCATTACCACTGGATCCTCAGAAATAATTAAAAGAAATAACAAATATGGCTATGAAAAAAACCCATTGGCACAATTCACAAAATTGTGACAAAATTAACTACAATCATCTGGAAGAATCTGGCTGTTTTTCTAGCTTCAAATCAACTTTCTAGCACTGTAGGAAATGAATGGTAAACTTGTACAAAAGAGCTAGCGTACAAATCTAACAAGGGCTTTGGAAAGTGCTGAGGGTGTGGGCAGATGAGATGCCTCTGTAAAGGTCAGTTGTTCAGTCCTTCCTATAACTCAACTCCAAATGGCCACAGAGGGAAGTTTGCAGTGACTGGAGGGAATGGGGTGAGTCCCAAGTGATCTAAAATGGCTAATAGGAATTGGGCAGGTCCACTTTCTGCCATGTTAGTCACCAAATGAAAACGCAAAATGTGGCAGCTGTAAAAAAGCAAAACACAACTTCCTTGTTGGGATCATTGGAAAAGGGATTGACAATGGTCAACGCTGTCATGCCTGCATAAAAATCTATGGTATGTCCACAGCGGGATGACTACATTCAGTTCTTATAATTTTGGAGAAACGATACAAGGCAAGGGCAACCAAGGAGATCCTATGGGGAAAAGGTTAAAATGCTAGAACAGAAAAAAGGAAACTGAGAGAGATGTAACTGAGGTATAGAAAATAAGGCATTATATGGAGAAAATAGACATGGAAATGTTATTCTCCCTCTCTCAAAACCTTGGGCACATGGGTCATCTAATAAAGCTGAGTGAAAAGAAGTTATAGACAAAACCAAGCACTTCTTCACACTGTTCATGAACTATGGAATTCATTACTATAAAGTATGTTGAGGGCTCCCACCTTGGAGAGCTTTAAAAAGGATTTGGGAAAAACCATGGCAATCAGGTCTATTGACAGTTATTAGCCTTGAGATTCTGGACTATTTTCAGATTGAAGGCGGATTGCTTCAAGTACCAGTTACAGAAATCATGGCAATAGAGGGATGTAATATAATAACAGAGTTGAAAGGGACCTTGGACGTATTCTAGTCCAACCCCCTGCTCAAGCAGTTTTGTGAGAAACAAAATGCTGGATTAAGATGGGGCTTGCTGTTATGGGTTTATATTTTTAATTCTAGAGTTACAGCTCCAAAATATTTTGAAAACATCAGGATGGATAAGGCTGGTTTAAGTTCCAGTTGACAAAAACTTAAATCATTATAAAAATATTGTAAAAGTCTAGTGCAAGAAAACAACATAATCATCCTGTTTTCATACAGCACCCACATATACACAAATTATAGTTTGAGCCTAAATGTGACAGCGACTAGTCCAGAACATGCTGGGTTGAGAGAAAACAAAGCCAGTGCTACTCCTGGAGAAAGCATTTTATTTATTAATACAAGAATAGAAATTCTGCAATAAATACAATCTAATAAATAACATCTGAAAATAAATAAATATTAATATAAACAAACTTAGAATAACAACCTGACAGGAGGGAGGGAGGGAGGGGTGGGCAAAGATGGAGAGATAGAATGGTAGATGGGACCACATGTGGGAAATTTCTCCTTTGCTGTTGACAGTGTAAACCACAGAGCTTCACCCATTATAGCGGTGGCCATTATAGCTGGCTTAGACAATTATCCTACTGAGGGTAGGTCTGCATGTGGCAATAGTGAGTGAATGAACGATCTTACCTAACCACGGAGGAGAAAGAAAGGCTGAAAACCTACAAGTGTTTGAGCTAAATGAGGCCTCTCATCTCTGGTTCAGCATCCAGTTTGCCCCTTCTGGTGAAGACAGCCTCTAGAATTAAGGTCCAGCAGAAGGTCCAGTTTGGGCATATTTTAGAGCCTGACTGAAGAGATGCTTCCCATGTAACTGACTGATCACGGAATGCCCTCTGTAAGCTCATAATTGATGCAGCCCCTTAAAGAGAATGGGGAGAATGCAGAGAAATCCAGCTACAGAAGGAGTGAAATTTTAAGGCAAGTGGAGCATCAGAAGCAGGCTTAATTGCTCATCCTGGAGGTTAGAAGGGAAACACTCTTCCTCTCCTTCTGGAAAATGAATGGCCCCTCTGGAAGAGAGAGAGAGAGAGAGAGAGAGAGAAGAAGAAGAAGAAGAAGAAGAAGAAGAAGAAGAAGAAGAAGAAGAAGAAGAAGAAGAAGAAGAAGAAGAAGAAGAAGAAGAAGAAAAGAAGAAGAAGAAGAAGAAGAAGAAGAAGAAGAAGAAGAAGAAGAAGAAGAAGAAGAAGAAGAGGAGGAGGAGGAGGAGGATGAGGAGGAGGAGGAGGAGGAGGAGGAGGAGGAGGAGGAGGAGGAGGAGGAGGAGGAGGAGGAGGAGGAGGAGGAGGATATATTAATTTTATACAAGGTGGTGGAGGAAGAGATGCGAAGAAACAGGCTGTATAGATGTGTACCTGCTCACCCAGAGCACAACTTAATAGCAGAGAACAATGCAGCACCAAAAAAGCAAGGGAGGAAGAAGAGGAGGAGGGCAATTTTGAGGAGGGGCTGGGAGAAGGCAGTGGATTTGGAGTCTTTCAGAAGTGCTAGTCCTTGAGTGGCAGGCCTGAATGGTGTCACTGAATGAGGTGAAGGCAGAGACAATGGTGACGGCAGGAATCAAAAGCCTCTGGTTTCCAGATGCAGCATAACAGCGGATGGAGGCACCCTTTTACGCAGTCGGTTGAAGTCTTTGGCTGAGCGCCACAGCCAGGTCTGTAGCTCTTTGAGCAGCCAGAAGTCATCCATCTTGCGCAGGAAGTGGCTGGGTGGGGTCAGCTCTAGAGGGGGCCCTGGAGTTGGAAGTGAATAACCCAGGGAAGCCATGATGCCTGCGATCGAGCCCAGCAGCCCTTGCAGGCTTGCCCGAAAGTGGGCTAGGCTGTGGCGCAGACTTGGCAAGGCAGTTGGAGCCGTGCCATCCATGGTCCTCAGGTAGCAGAGCAGGTGGCTGTAAGCCTGGTAATTAGCTGCTAGCCGGGCATTGTCATTCAAGCTGTGCCACTCCTGAATGTCTACGGTGGCACTTGGCACAGCTTCTACCCCAATTATCCGGGGAGGATCAAAGTCCGGCTCATTGAAAGGTGGCCCCAGGTAGTTGAGCTGAAGGGAAAAGACAGGAAAGTGTTAAAACTCACTTGAACAGGAATACCCACTTTCCCAGTTCTTTCCTCCCACCACCTCTACAAATGCGTCCTCTCTCTCTCATACAAAGGACAGGCAAGACAAGGAGATGTAAGTCTATGGGATCACAGGATATGTGATCCACAAAACAATCTTTTTTTTTGTTGTGATCCCCCTGATCTCCCGTACACTAGTGGAAAGGCTACCATTTTTTAAAGCTGTTCTTATGTTACAATACTCCTGCTTATTCCAACAGCCCTCAAGCTGTGCAAAAGCTGTCACGCCTTGTCACCCATGATCCTGGAAGGAAAACACATGACTGGTAGAGCCCAGGAATATAGATAAGAGAAATGGAATATAGATCCATGCAGTGGGAGAAATTGGTAGAGTTTCTGCTGATGGAAGGGTGGATAGCTTGGTTGTTGGTGGGAAAGAACATTTGCAGTACAGGTAGTCCTGATGACCACAACTGGGACCAGAATTTCTGTTGCTTAGCAAGGCAGGTGTCAAGTGAGTTATGCCCAATTTTATAGTCTTTTTGCTACAGTCATTAAGTGAATCTAGCTTTCCCATTGACTCTAGTTGTCAGAAGCTGGCTGGGAAGGTGGCAAACGGCAATCACCTAATTCTGGGATGCTGCAACCATTGTAAATACATACTGGTTGTCAAGTGCTCGAATTTGGATCACGTGACCATGGGAATGCTGAGATGGTTGTAAGTACGAAGCAGGGAGGGTCTTAAATCTCTCTTTTTCAGTGCATTTGTAACTTTGAACAGTCACTCAACAAATGATTATAAGTCGAGGACTATCTGTACATAGTGCTACCTGCCAGATGACATATTTTTGTACGCTGCTGCCTACCTATGCCCGCTGACCAATGCATCCCCGGGCATGGGCAAAGTGTCCCTGAATCCATTGACTTGCAAAGATCTCACTGTTACCTGTTGCACTTCTTGCACTTCCATGCTGCTACTGCAGTTAGCCAGTTTCTATCATTGAAAAAGCCTAGCTTCCCGGCTGATCATTCTGTTACAAACACAGGCACATGCTGGCTTTATTCACACCTGCCTGCCTGCCCTGCTGGGCTGCGTTCCTGGGATTCCCCACCCCCTGCCAACAGTGGTGTCCCGCAGGCAGCAGGATTGCCCAGGCAGTGGGGTGAGTGAAGCACCAAGCGGAAGGGAGGTGTGTCAAACCCTGCGGGTGTGTGAAGAACCTGACAAGCTCAGGAGACAAATTAATTTCCTCTCTGTTGCCTGAGGGCAAGTAGAGGCTCCCCAAACAATTTTATAGCAGTAGCAGAGATCAGCTAACAGGCAGGCTGGGACGTGGCCATCACCATGAGACCAGCAGGAGAAAATGGGGAAAGGAGAAAGAGGAATTCTGTTATATTTAAGAATAGGGGCTTCAGAGTAAGGAAAGGAACATGGTGCACTTGGAAGGTTTTGGGAAGATACAAATGTTTGTTTAAAATATGAAGTGATATGACCCTGCATGTGTCAAGGGCTTTCCTTTTCCTAATAATTTCAGCTTTCACACATGGACAATGAGCCAACTGTTATTAACCTCATTCACTGATCTCAACTGTTGTTATTCCCTGCAAGACTGTGGGATTAGACCAGTGTTTCTCAACCTTGACAATTTTAAGGCATGTGGACTTCAACTCCCAGAATTCCACAGCCAGCAATGCTGGCTGTGGAATTCTGGGAGTTGAAGTCCACATGCCTTAAAATTGTCAAGGTTGAGAAACACTGGATTAGACAGAGGGAGAAAAGTGTGTTGCGAATACACAAATGCTCAGATTGAACACGTGTATGAATCTTAAAAATTAAAATTCTTCTTTACATTTCATCATTTATTTGGGATTTATTTAATGGGGAGGATCCAAAAGCTGTCTAGAACACTGAAGAAAACATCTGAGCATAGATGCAATTAGACCCAAGTTTGTGTAGAAGGGATCTAGATAGGTTTTGGAGGATCAGCCAATCTGAGGCCACTAGTTTTGATAGCTAATCAGGTAGTCCTCGTTTAGTGTTTGGAGGGATGTTGCAAAGAGCACTGGCTAGACAACAACTTTCTTCAGCATGTCTCAGGAAAAGGCAGGTAGCTTTTGACACTTAATGAAGCCCATGCTTACCACAGACTTCATTCCCTGCACATCCCACAAGCCCAGAAGACCAAGGAAAGGCCACGGCAGAGATCTGATGCACTTAGACCACACTTTCACACCCTCTAAAAGGCTTGTGTGGGTAAGACTGCTTGTGTTACCAGTTAACATCCTTTCATTTCTCCTGGCTGCCTGAGCAGCTTTCTCTATCCATACCTTCTATGGCAACCTTTGGAAGTAGTTTTGCTTCTACAGAAATCACTTGGGAATAAGTTTGTAACATCCCTCCAAAAGCTGCCAGCAGGATGGCCTGCCTAATTGTGTTCCTTCCCTGACAGGTTGAGAGCAGAGCTCTTGTGACTATGGGGAACTTTGCCTAGGTTTATTTGTGTTGTTTTGCTTTTCCCCTTCTGCTTGGTTGCCAGCCATTAAACATTGTGAATGCTACTTTAGGTAGCCTGGGCAGTTCCCCCCCCCCCCAAGGCATCAACACAGCTTCCTTGACCATCATCTCTTTGCTACTCTCCAAATTCCTCGTTTGTACTAATCTCCTGAATTTGCTCTCTCAGTTGATTTCTTTCTTCCATAATGAGAAGAATGGTAGTACTAGCACAAGTTAAGTTCAGGTCATTTCAGTAGATGGGAGGTAGGTGTTTGCTTATGCTCCCATTTCCACTGGATAAAATAGCTCAGGAAAAATAGTGTTAGATTTTTCTTGGCAAGGTAAGGCAATGAGCAATATAGCCTTTTTACAGGATCTGATTTCCCCGTTGCTGCACTTATTGCCCTCAGCAATCATATTGCTACAGTGCCTTTCCTTATATTCATTTGACTTATCCTTACATCTTCCATTTCTTTATTTTCAGGTTGGTTTTTTATTAAACATCCTTTCCCAACCTGATACGGTTGTCTCCAGATTGTTTGACTATAAGTCCCTTTAGCCCCCAGCTGTGTTATAAGGGGATATTTATTATTATGTTTATATTGCCATCCATTCACGAAGAGTCTGATGCTTAGAGTCACAGTCCCAAAGGTTTGGAAACTATCAGGTTGCAAAAAGCAATTTTTTACTTTGCTTTACTAAAATCTTAATCTGTTTGGCCTAGGTTATTTCTAGAGGCCTGGATCATGCTCTCATTTCTTGACAATTAAGATGGACTGGAGATAGTCCATTATGGTGTTGACCTTTACAATTCTAATGGCATGGGACTGGCTTATTTGAGGGAACACCTTTCTCCAATTTCATTTACCAGTCCCATCAGATCTCATAAAATAAGTATGTTACAGGTTCTGATGTCTTGAGACCTACATTTGGCAGGGCCCAGATTTGGGGGTGTGTGTCTTTTTTTGCTGTAGAACCCATATTATGGATCACATTATTTATTATTTATTTATGAGACTTATATACCGCTTTTAAGTGCAAGCACTCTTTAAGCGGTGTACACCAGTAAGCAATGTATATATATATTTACATCACTTCTGAACTTCTGAAAGTCCCTCAAGATGAACCAATGAGGTGGCTCCCTTATTATTAACATTCCTCCATCTATTATTCTCTTTACCTGTTTTAGCTTTGCTTTTATAATTTTAAATTAGTTTAATAATTATTATATACTTATTACTTATTTACAAGTTTATACAGATTATTGTATGCTAGCCAGAGTCACTTTCCATGGGATGACCGGCCATATAAGTTTAGTTAATACTTTTCTTTAAAAAATCTTTACAAATAGACAACAGTTTGAGAGTTTGAGAGACTAAGTTCAAAGTGAAGCTAAGTATGCATTGCAGGTGAGAACCAACTGTTATTGCCATCTCTTTATTTATATAGTTTCACTCACTGAAAATAAGTGTTAACTGAAACTTGGCTTTCTGTGAACAGATTTCATACCTGTTTTCACATGAATTTGGAAAATTGTGTATGTCTGTCTGTATACAGAGCTATATATTTTGAAGACATTCAGCTCTTTTGTGTTCCATGTGGGCAACATAGGAATGCACCGTTTACTGGGATTGGCAAGGTAAATTCCCATATTAATCATCAGTATGTATATAATATAGGATCAGTATACAGTTACTAATCCAGTATGGTATCTTTCTCCCTTCTAGTTGCTATAATGATAACTTTGATGAGTATTATAGCATCAGTATTTAATTGAGGACAGTTTTATCAACAAATGGCACACATTCACCATCCCAGATTTCAGGCACTGACAGGGAAAGAGGAAAAGATCATGATCATCATTTTGATGTCAGTGAGCACAGTGGAGGCCCAGAGAGTTCGGTTTAGGCTAAATTTGCTTCTGTTGATCAGCCTCTACCAGCTTATTATTACCAAATTTGTTCATTTCTGGGACATCAAGCAAATAGCTGCTGTATAATGGCACAATTCTTTAGTTTTCTAGACTGTGAAAATATGACCTGCTTGATCCACCTCCTTAAAAAAATATTTCTGGAATGTTGATATGCTAGAAAACATGGGTCCTGCATTTTCCATCGTCCAAACCAATTAAATTCCTGATTTGATAGCATTTGATGCTCAGTGTCGGGGAGAGCTGCCAAGGGGTAGGGCCTGAAATGCCAGGTAGGCCAGAGAGCAGGGATGCCACGCAAACTGATGAGGGGCTACCCCCACACTCTGCACAGCTGGGCGTTTCCCTGGCAAGTTCTGACAGACGAGGCCTCACCTCACCCCAGCAGGAGATCCACAACAGATTGTAAACAGGGAGACTCCACCGGTGCCTGAAGGCAGGGAGGAGAAAAGATGTCAGATATTCTGCCAAGTGACAGCCATAGCTGTGGAGAGAGAACAGTATTTCAGCTATTCACCAGATAGGAGGAAATTTTAGGTGCTGGCACAAAGTGTTGCAGGCACAAAATTTCCATATCCCTAAATCCCTTTTCAAATAATATGAAGAATCAGTCTGTTGCCTTTTAATACCCTTCTCTTGCAATGGGCTTTCAGGATTCAATGTCTGGTTGTATAATCTTTCTCTTCTTATTCGTAATTTTATGAAGCTCCAAATGACACTGCTTTCTGTTTACAGCACTCATATCTTTCCCTACCACTTCTTGCATCATTTTAAGTTCCAGAATGGGGGGGGGGGGGAAGAACAGCTGCCTGAGTCCTATGGAAAGGTGACAATAGGAACCCTTCATGCAGAAGTGACCTGAGGTGTATTAAGCCCACATGACAGAATACAGAGAGAGAAGCACAGCCTGGCCTTCCTTTGCTGCAGACATATCCAAATGGAGAGAAACAGGAAGGCAGAATTTTCCAAGGAGATCAGTTGGGCAGGAAAAAAATAGAGATGGTTCAAGGAAAGGGGAAGTAAGCAAGAAAAGAATGTCTAGGCAGTTGCTCAGCTCAGCTGCTTCCATTCTCCCAAAGCATCTACACTCACATAAATGGCCGCAAGCGTGTGCAGCTGGTGTTCCAGATAGCGAGTAAGGTCGTACATCTGCTGGATGGACTGTCTGGTGGTCACTTGGTCCGTGCGGTTCAGTGCAGGCACCCCAGGCAGGTTCCAAAGCGTGGCACACAGGAAGGCAAGGATCCCCCACGAATCTCCTGCAGGGAGCACACTTATAAGGAGCTGTGGGCAAAGGGAGCACTGTGACCGGGGGAGCAAAGCCGGCATTCCCCATTCCTCCTTCCTCCACACCCCACCGCTCCGTAGAGGAATCATAGGAGAAAAGGATTTGTCTTGTTCACTCCTATTGAATATATTTTTCCCAAACCCATTACACAAATCAAACCTACGTGCATAGCTCAGACCCTGGGAACAGATAGCTCTTTTATCTTGGAGTAATCCAAGATATTCTGATGCTGTGGGGAAGAGTTCACCAGAAAAGCCTTTTGTCAAGCAATCCCTATTCCCCATCAACCCTATTTGTCCCATCCTTCTTTAATACAAGCAAAATGGCTGCATATATTCTTGTACTTCTGACATGTCAGCAGAAATTTTTCTATTTTTTTCCCCCCACAGGAAGGGTTTCCCATGGCAACAGTTAAAAGCAATCAAAGCCAATTAAGACTTCCCCAGATGCAAATAGCAACTTTAGGGGATGTGTGCCTGCATGTGTAGGTTTCAGTAGGGCCAGGGCAGGGAGAAGAAAAACCCCTAGTACTGTTTGCCTGAAACCAAGGTTGCTATTTTCATTATAAAACATGTTATTTGGATTCACCTCAAGTCCAATCCAGTTTAGCCTAAAGGTTACCAAAATTGTTCTAGGATGAAAAGATTCTTACATAATGTCTTTGTTTTTTCTTTTTCTCTTTTGGAAATTCCTATTCTTGTTTCCTGCCCATACAGTGCTAGCAGATTCTGGAGATTACCAGGTTTCTCTGGAAATATGTATGTCAATTTTGACTCCTGGCAATTGCTTGGACTAGGTCCCTGCAACATACTTTGGAAGTGGTTTGCCATGGCCTCCTTCCTAGGGTATACAGAGAGATACTGGCTTAAGATCAGCTAGCTGATTTCATGCCTAAAGCAGAATTAGAACTCATGCTCTCCTGGTTTCTAGTCTGATGCCTTAGCCATTATATCAAACTAGCCCTCTTGTTGCTAAGGAGAACTGTCTCCTTAAGGATCCCATCCGAATTCCCAGTGAATGTTCAGAACTGAGGCAAAGGCTTATTTTCAGCAAGGCATAAATTTAAGTGATCTAATACTTGACAGAATACAACAGACTAGTCAGAGATACTGTGTTAGTGATTTGGGCTCATTAATTACATTAAACATGTGTTTTATAGATAATGAATGAATTTTTGAAATACATTCAGCGTATGCCTTAAACTACAGTTTTTCTATCAAACATTTAACTGTTCGGCTGAAATAATGCTCTTAGTCCAAAAGAGAAACTGTATTTCCTAAGTTTATTAGCACACCATAAATGATGTAATCCTAAAAAAAAAAAAAAACCTTAACATTTTGAGAGTGAAATTTTGGATGCTAATAGAAAAGATAAATACAGCCAAAAAGCTCTAAGTAACATGAAACATTACATGGAAGGCTAAGGCACATTCCTGCATTGTTAGGAATGCCACAAAAATTATTCATTTAGCTTGCTTGGTGTTTCTGTTTTCCTCTGTCGGAGACAGAAATATTTACAATATATCTTTATTCCCAGACCAAGAATAGAAATATGGTTATGCCTGTAAAGCTGCCATAAAAACCTAGTACATTACTCACGCCAATGCCTCCCACTTGGGTGATTCACCTGCAAAGCACGCAGCCTGTCCCGGCCACTCGCGCTTCATTAAACACTATCCCGTGGCATTTTTCAGGGTGTACCACACCCAAGCCTAGCCCAGCCTCACTGATTCCATCTTACTTCAGTGCTTCCACTGTTCTTCTGCCCACCAGGGACAGCGCCCACCCATTCTCTCTCCCACCCAACCCAGAGATTTCCTTGCCTTTTATATAAATTCTATAGGAATCTGCATCACTTTCCTTTTGCAAGTTCGAAGAGGGCAGGGGTGGTGTCTTAACAAAAGTTTAAAGGATATTTTTAGTCCCAAATGGATGTCAGGTATAGAGTAGCTCCGGCCTGATCTTGATCACTCTTTCTAAAGCAGTGGTTCACAACCTGTGGGTCGGGACCCCATTTGGGGTCGAACGACCATTTCACGGGGGTCGCCAAACAACGCAGTCCGCCATTTTTTCCCCATTTTCCTTGGCTGTGCTACTCTCCTTTATTCTATTGGCTTTTGAAAGCCAATAGGAATTGTCCAGGCTGTCTCTGTCCTGCTAAGCCCGCCAAAAGTCCCATTCTGCAAACGGTGCTGTACCAGTTGAGTAGTCCTCGACTTACGACCGGTTGAGTAGTCCTCGACTTATGACCGGTTGGGGGTCACGGCATTAAAAAGGTTGAGAACAATTGTTCTAAAGAGAATGAAGGAGGGAGGGTTTGGAAGGCCCTCGCTGTGGTATGAGAAATTCTGCTTCATCACCAATGTTTACCATTTCTTGTAAGGAAATATTCAGTGTTCCACCCTTATCTTCATTCTGGGAAGTTCCACATAGCTACTTAGATACATTGTCAAAACAATTATCCTCATCCTTGCAGCGATCGTCTTCATCACTACTGCCCAAGAAATGGCAGTGGCCAACAACCAGCATCCCCTCCAGCTAACCAGGAGAGGAATGGAAAAACCTAGCACTCCTCTACACTTCTTAGTTTGCAATGCTTTTTTTCTTTTTTTGTAATTAAGGGGAAAAAAATTGCTGGGAGACTGAGCTTTAAGAAGACCTGTGAAAAAACAGCAGAGTGCTACAGTGGCTTAGCCTCTATAAGGTAGGGGGAGAATAGCAACAAGCTGTTCCCAGATGGCCCACCCCCAAGGCTTATCCTTTCAATTGTTCAAATGCATTCATTGCCGTTCACTTTGTGCCAAGATGGAACTGGAAGTTAATTGGATGCCTGAAAAAGGGAAGCAAACTTGTGTGGTCACAAAGGCTGAGAATGAGAACTATATAAGATTACACTAATCCTGCATGTGGAAATGTTCTCAGTGCGCTGATAGCACCTGGACTTTGAACTGAATGTTGGTTTCACACTAGCAATGAGACATTGTCCTCCACTACATCTGAAACCAGCAGCTTATATTTAGTACATCAATATGCATTGCCTTCCTTCCATGAAGTACTTTTTCACTCTTCTCCTGCTGCCTGAGGCAACTGCTCCCCAGGCCCAATGGTAGGGCTCATCCTGCATAATAATAACATGTTGCTCGTTTCTATCACGGTTGCAATCACATGATAATATTTTTATTTTTCAGATATAGTGTTAAATTGAAGGTAATTCTACATTTTCTCTGCTTGGGTTGTATCAGATGCAGATAACATGAAGGTACCTAATAACTGCTAAATCCAGCACCCAAATAAAAAAGCCAGCTCCATAAAAGATAAGGTGAAATTATCCCAATCCTCCCAGCATTTCTGTATAATCAGAAAGATCCACCTTCTATTTAGACTACTGCAAATTAATTAGATGAAAAATACAGAATAAAGAACCTTGTTTAACTGATTCAACACAATCTACCAGAATCCATATGAGGACTTTGTATAGCCAATGTCCTCTTGGTTAATAATTTATACTTTCCTCATTAAGTTATGAATATATGAATTTTAACTCTTTGTTAATCTGATACATGTTTATTGTCGGCTAGACTGTATAGCCATTAGACTTTTTCTTCAATTCAATAGACAAAGTTTATACTTGTGGATGGAAAAAGAGTGGAATATGATGAAGAAAATGACAAGCCCTATCCTTTTGAAACAATTCCACTGAATAAGATGATGAAAATGCTTAGATGCTTAAAAGAAGATGCTAGACTTTCTGTTGTAGTGAACTGGGGAAAACCAGCATTAATCCCTATACACCTTCACTGTTTGAAGGTGACTTTCAATGTTTTTTTTTTTGAAAATGCTAGCCATGTAAAACAGTGGTTCTCAACCTTTTTATAGCCGCGACCCCAGTCGTAAGTTGAGGACTACCGGCCCAGGAGTGACGCGCATGCATGGTGCCGCCCCCTGCGCCGGCTGAGGCATAGCTGGCAAGGGGCGGCGGCAGGCAGGCCCAGGCGCTCCGGGCGGCCGCGGCAGGCAGGGCGACCGCCGGCTGGGCCACCAGCTGGCCCAGCCCAAGGCAGGTAAGGCACCCACCGGGCCCCACGCATGCCAGCAACCCTCCCTGCGCCCACCGGCCTCCCACCTCCCACCCCCAGCCCTCTTTTACTTACTTTTTAGTTGTTCAGCAGGGAGGGAAGCTCTGCAGACTGTTCCCCTTGCAGCACCGTTTGCAGACTGGGGCTTTTGGCGGGCTCAGCAGGGCAGAGACAGCCCTGGACAATTCCTATTGGCTTTTGAAAGCCAATAGAATTAGACTCTGTTCAAGAGTCTATTCTATTGGCTTTCGAAAGCCAATAGAATAAGAGGAAGTAGCAGAGCTAAGGAAAAGGGGGAAAATGGCGGAAAAAATGGCGGATCGCGTTGTTTGGCGACCCCGTGAAATGGTCGTTCGACCCCAAATGGGGGCGCGACCCACAGGTTGAGAACCGCTGATGTAAAAGGAGAAATGTCAAAATCAATATTTAATATTTACATGTGTCAAGTCTATATTTTTTCCCACAAAGCCAAATTTAATTTTTTTTATAATACTTGAATTTTGAAATATATCTGATTTGAAGTTGAATCTATCTATATCTTACAACAGTGATTTCAATGTATTTCTGACAGCACACAGAGATTGTTAAACATTATAAAAATATCTTCACAGTTACATTACTTTTTAATCTCCTATTATATAAGCCAAACAGCTAAGTAAGATAAGAATGAAATCTCTCTCAAATTGAGTTTGACATACCTAGATTGTTTTCTTGTAATACCAGTAGTACCAAAGCCTAGCCTTGCTCTTGGTCTCCCATCAAAATACTATCCAGGGCTTTCAATGTTGTTGTGTTTTTTAGGTTAGTGAAGGTAAAGTAGGTGCTGTCACAAATAAATACAGCATTTTACATTCTACTGTGATCATTTTAAATCTCTCTAATTGTCCACTCTATTTGTCTTCCAATTTTTGTTTTTCTAAGATTCAAAAACGATCTTTACTAGCAGAAAAGAATAGTATTCCCTGCCAGATATCTTGGTTTGAATGTGACCACAAATCACATTAGCACTATGAGCTACAGAATCTTCCTGGAAGCTCATCATGAAATAAAGTTGTACCTGGTCTAATTCTCCTCTTAGGTTTATTGCTTTCCAGCTTAAGTTTCCCCTGCATTTAAGAGATGGGTGAATAACCACTTCTACGCATCTCTTGTAAAATCGGCCTTGCTCATCTCTTTGAATCTGGAAAGACTGCAGCATAACACTATAGGCTAAGGCAGTGTTTCCCAAACTTGACAATTTTAAGGCATGTGGACTTCAACTCCCAGAATTCCACAGCCAGCGTTGCTGGGAGTTGAAGTCCACATGCCTTAAAATTGTCAAGTTTGGGAAACACTGGGCTAAGGCAGGGGTAGGCAACCTTGGCTCTTTTATGACTCGTGGACTTCAACTCCCAGAATTCCTGAGCCAGGAATTCTGGGAGTTGAAGTCCACGAGACATAAAAGAGCCAAGATTGCCTACCCCTGGGCTAAGGTAAGTTTAATACCATTTAAAAGAGTAGATCTCGCAGCTCCCAAACAGGAAAAACTTTGCCTTGCCCATTTGTACATGATTCACTGCTTTCCGCCTCTTGCTTGATCATATGGTCTTGCAAAGTATTCAACCTGGATACCAGCCACCAGAAGCTTCCTCAACCCTATTCTAAAGGCAGTTTCAACTGTAGGCGCCATCCATTCTGAATCAGAACACTTAGTACCTGCAAACTAAATTAGGACTATCCTAATCACCATGCTGATTACCAGTGGTCTACAACAAACCAGAAACTGGCAGACACTGTATGGATGATTCATCCGCTTTATTCATATATAGCTTTTCTGGCAGCTTTTGACTTGAGTGTAGTTATTCAGCCTCAGATTGTCTCCTGCTTTTCTTTTTTAAACAAATGGAGTCTTTTTCCAAATGACCCTATGACATCAACTGATTTCTACCATTACCTATACATAAGACTGGCCTTACTATTAATCATTATTCTTTCTTCTTCACTCCTTACATTTCCCAGAATACACATTTAGTGGAAGGCAATTTCGATGTTCCAGATTTAGAACAGAGTTTTCTCCCTTCTTCTGATACTTTAGTCATGGACACAGTCTAGAACAGGAGTGTCAAACTGCTGGCCCATGGGCCAGATGCGTCACGCCAAAAACGTGCCCACCCCATTGCCAGCAATGGGAAAAAGTCGCGATATGTCGTGACACGTCACGTGACGCCGCGAGTTTGACACCCGTGGCCTAGAACATTTCATCAGTGATGTGGTTGACACTACCTCGCTCAGATCTGCCCAGCTCCAATTGAGGCTTCGGTTTCTGCAGCCAGGTCCCTGCCCTCTGCTCAGTAGTCTCTGTCTACCAGACCATTTTGGCCTGGGCTACGAGAGGCTGGTCATAGAGTCCTCTGCCCACATAGGGCTGACTAGCATTTGTCAATGTGTTTACTGGGTCTTAATGTCAAGATGCTTTTTACAAAGAACACTAGACTTGTTTTTTTCTTCCTAAAAAAATAACTTCACTGCTCTTTTGAGAGTATGATAGTCCTGTGCTATGCAGGAAATCAATTTAAACCAGGAAAGACAGCCTGGCTTTGCCAGAGGTATGTTCCTGATTTTGACATCAATGAGTGCATTAGAGATTTTTTTGTTTGTTTTTATGTATTTATTAGATTGTTATCCTGCCCTTAT